CCCCAAAACCCCAAAACCCCAAAACCCCTTTAGCAAGTCCATGGCTTAAATTAATTTATCAAATGGAGAAACACACTGATCTGAGTCTAAAAAAGTTCTTATGATCCTCTTTGGCGGGAGGGTGAGCAGGAATTTCTGTTGATTTTGTCTTATTCCCCATCGATAGTATCAAAACAAGATTACAAGCAAGTACTAAAGCTAAGAACTATGCTAAAGAAGCGAATAAGGTTAACAAGTTTAGAGGGTTTGTAAGCTCCATGCTTGCTTCCTTTCCTTGAGCAGCTATTTTCTGGGCTTCATATGAATTCTCAAAGCTCTTTATTTCCAAAAGCGAGTTTGGACAGAGCATGTCTCTTCCTTTGCAACATTTCTGAGCTGCCTCAATAGCTGAATCAACGCAAGCTTTAGTCCGTAATCCATTTGAAGTGATTAAACAAAACCAGCAGATTGGGAAATATGAAACTATTATTCAAGCAGGAAAAGATATCTACTCTCATAAAGGAATTGGTGGCTTTTATAGAGGCTACTTCTCTCTCATCATGAGGGAGATCCCATTCTCAGGATTACAATTTCCTCTATATGAGTATCTCAAAAGACTACAGATAGCTTATTTGTCAAGATCAAGGAATATCAAGCCAGAAGAAGTAGAGATGAAATTTTGGAATAATGCCATCAATGGATCCCTTGCTGGATCTATAGCAGGATTTATCATCACGCCCATTGATGTGATCAAGACTAGAAGAATGACAGCAGATGTTCAGAAAAAGCAAATTTCTATCCCCAAATTAGTCTCTGAAATATATTCAGAAGCTGGCATGAGAGGCCTCTACAGAGGTGCTATGATAAGAGTTCTATATCTTTCATTCGGTGGCTCAGCTTTCTTTGGTATCTACGAAAAGATCAAAAATAGTCTAGAAAGCGCAATGTATGACTAACTACCTCATTTGGATAAATTGGATGGCTCAAAAAATATATTTCAACTTCTTGGGAGCCAAGAGGGGTTTTGGGGTTTTGGGGTTTTGGGG